ATATATATATATATATATATATATATATATTAAATATGGTAAATTCCCAATAGAATTAAACATGATGCTATCATTTTAATTCCTAAAAAATGTGGTGCCCATACTCTAAATGATTTTCTTCATATTTCTCTTTGCAGTATTCTATATAATGTTATTTCTAAACTCTTAGTTGAATGTATTAAGTATATTCTTTTTAATATTATTAATATTGTTAAGGCTGCTTTCATTAAAGGAAGATATATTACTGATAATGTATTTTGACAAATGAGATCTTTATGGATTTAACTCTATTAATTTTGGAAAACAATTTTGTTCTAAAATTAATTTACTTAAAGCTTTTTATAAAGTTAATCAAAATTTTCTTTATGATAGAATGATTAGATTATGTTTTCCTTTTGGTTTTATTCGTTGGATTAAGGCTTGTACAAAAGATATTTGTTTTTCTATTATTATTAATGATGAATGAATGGTTACTTTGCTTCTTCTTCTGGTTTGAGATAAGGTTGCCCTATTTCACCTCATTTCTATGTTATTCTTATGGATTCTCTCTCGTGATTGATACTCAAAATAGTTTTAAATCTTGCAAAAAAGGTTTTAATAAAATTTACCATCTAATTTATGTTGATGACCTTTTATTTTTTTTGGGATGCTGATCCTTTTATTATGCATCAACTTGTTAATACTCTGAATATTTTTATCATGCTACAAATTTAGCTATTAATTTATCTAAGTTTGTTATTTGTTTTTCTAAGGAAGTTGATTATAATTTACAAGATTCTCTTTCTATCATTAGTAGTTTGAAAAACATTCCTCTTCCATAGAAATATCTTAGTATTACTATAAATTGTTCTAAATTGATTACGATGGATTGCCAAATCATCATAGATAAGCTATTTTTATTGTTGCCCGGTTGGAAACAAAAAGTTCTTTATACAACTGAGCACTTCCAATAAATAAATTACTCTATAAGAATTTATCTTTATTATTAGCTTCAATCAATTTTTTTTTTCTAAATGTATTAAGAAGAGAATTACTTCAACCATCTCTTGGCATTTTACTATTTTTCCTAAAGTTTTTGGAGGCCATGATATTCCCTCTTTTTGATATTATTAATTTAATGTGTAAATTGAAGATTATTTAGATATATTTTACTTCTAATTCTATATTAGCTAATCGATGTATGGATTCTTATGACACATTTTGGTTTAAAACTATAACCTTGTTGTCTACTTTTTGAAAAGAATTGATGAAATTTGCTTTAGAAAGAAAATAGTCTTGCTTTTCCGGTTAATACTAGGAGTAATCTTCTTTTCTTTTTTGATATGTGGCTTAATGGATCCTCTTTATTTAAAATTTATGGGAATTCAGCTTTTGAATGGTTTCATTTTTCTAAATCATTCAAATAAAAGATGTTCTTGCTAAAGGCTCTTGATATGTATCTCAAGATTGGAACATTCCAACTATTTGTTTAATTCTTTTTCAAAGCATTCCTATTCATGAAAATTGTTTACTATCTTTAGAATGGTAAGAACTATTTTAATAATAAAAATGTCTTTCATTTCATTTATGAAAATCTTTCGGTTAGAGATTGAAACAGATTAGGTTGGTATAAATGTTATTCTATAAACTTGGCTCTATTTACTTGAAGAATTTTTTATTCTAGTCTTAAAATAAGTGATATTAATTATTTAAGTGGTATTGATGTTTATCTTAATTGCCTTCTATGCTTTAATGGCATTGAAATTCATAACATCTATTTTTTAAATGTTCATTCTCTCACTTTTTATTGAAGAATTGTATTCCTTTTGAGGATTTTCATTAGTCCTAGTAATTTTTTCAATTTTTTTATCATACTGAGATTATTAATTTCAAAAGTCATAAAAAATTCTATTTTTTAACCATACAAATTATTGCGTATGACATTCAGGTTGAGGGAAGGACAAAATTTTTAATAATTATATTACTTCCATTGAGAATACTTCAAAAAACAATCTTCGGAAGATTAAGATGAAAAGTAATAAATGGAATTTTAAGTATGATATTCTTAATTTTATTAGATATTTTTTTTAATTTATAATATTCATTACTTTTGTTTATATTTTCTTCCTTTTTTATGTTTTGTTGTTCATTTTTATTTGAATGGGTTTAATTAACTTATTAGGTTGGGTGTTTTGTTTTAGCTGTTTTTTTGTCTTCTAGTTTTTTTGTCAAGTTTGTTTTGGGTTGGGTATTCTTTTATATTGGTTGCTTTATAGATTGATGGATATTATTCTTTAGTCTTGGTTTTTGTAGCTAATTTTAGGTAGAGCTTAGTTTCATATCATTTTATTAAGATTTAACTATTCTTTGAAATTTTTCCTGTTTTTCTCATTTGCTCTATTTAATTCAATAAATTTAGATGGATAACCATTTGTTTAATGCATTAAATATTTAACTGAGTTCTTAATCAGGAATTTTATTTTGTTGAATTTGGATGGATTTTTGTGTTTTGATATGGTTTTGATGCGGTTTTTTTTTTCTTTTTATCCTTTTTTTTATTTGCTTTTAAATTTTCTTGTATTCGTTGTTATGATTGTTGTGGTTTTTCATGTTTTATGTGGTTCTTTATGATTGTTGACATTATCTTCCATTTTTTCTTGACTTTTTTGGAGGCTACTATTTGGGTGTACTTTTTACTGTTTAGTAATATTCTAGTTTGTGTGGCATTTTTTCAGTAAGTTTGAGGAGTTTGGTGTTAGTATATGGTTGTCTTTTGTCGTTTTGACTGTTTTATTCTAGGGGTTTTTTTCAATTTTTATGAGATATTTTTATTGATTGAAGTATACTACACTTTAGTCTTTATTTTTGTGGTTCATTTTAGGTAAAGTTATGATGCACCATATCATTTATGAAAATATCTAACTATTCTTTGAAATTTATTCTTGATTTTCTCATTTACTTGGTTTAAATCATTAATTATAGATGGATTTCGAGTTGTTTAATTTATTAAACTTACACATGAGTTTAAATATACTATGTTATGTGAGCTTTTATTGATTTGATTTAGTTCTTTGAATCGAGAATTTATTTTCTTTGAATCTGGATAATTTATTAAACTTACACATGAGTTTAAATATACTATATTATGTGAGTCTTTTATTGATTCGATTTTGTTCTTTGAATCGAGAATTTATTTTTTTTGAATCTGGATGTGAATCTGGATAGATTTTAACATTATGATATATGTTTGGCCGAGTTTTTTCCTTTTATTCTTCTTCCTCTTATTGATTCTATTTGATTCGATTCTTACTTTTTTTTGTTTCTTAAGGTTTGTGTTGGGTGTTATTGAAGTTATTTTCCTACAAGTTATCTGGTGTTATTTTAGTACCATGTGGTACTTTTTTTTTGTCACTAGTTGGAATAACATCTTTTCCAGTTAGCGTTTTGTAGATAGAGTAGCTTTTGTTGGAAGTTTTGGCTTCAAGTTTTGATATTTGGGAGAGTAATACCTTTTCTAGTTGGTGTTTTGTAGATAGAGTGACCGCTATTTAAATTTTTGGCTTCAAGCTTTGATGTATGGAAGAGTAGTCAGACAGATTTTTTTGAAGAACTTCCTAGAGTGGTTGTTGTTCTCCATTTGACCACTTTATTTGTCTTTATATTTTTAGAAGATGAATTTTTACCTATAGTTTTTCTTGTGATTGGATTTTTTTGAATTTTATTATGTTTCATTGTGCCGTCCTTTTTTATTTCAGCCTTGCTTTTTTTTTTTTTTAATTAAGAGCCATCATATTCATTTTGTGTTGTGGGATATTTTGTT